ATTTGCTTTTATCAGCTACAGACATGAAGAAACTGCTGAGCCAAAAAGCAACGATTAACCAGCACCTGGGACTGCTCCCTGTCCTTCGTGGTGATTTTCGTAGATGTTGCAGGGGATGAGACAGATAAGATTAGCAAGAGCAAAGCCAGACAAGCCGTAAGCATCAGAAGTGTTTCACAATCCCAAAACAAAACCAGGCAGCCCTTCACCCCGCCAGGCTGCAAAGAAGATACATGGAAATGGCCAGCAGGGAGCCCAGTACGTCCAATCCCTACAGCAGCATCACATCATGGGTTTGTCACCATTGGGTTAAATGATATCCCTTGCTCTGCTCAAGCAGTCCCTTCAGCATTTCTTTTTTAAGTTAAATAATAATCCTTTCTTTACAAAAGAAATTGAGAGCCCTTTTAAAATAATCTTTGCTCCAACTGTTCATGTCACAAATCCCATCTGCTTAGCAAGAAGCCAAGGGTGATTTATCATCTGAGTGCTTAAACAACTAACAGTTTATTCCACTTATGCAATCCCCCTAGCACTGTCCCAGGAGGAAATCAAGGTGTGTAGGGGGTATTTTTGGATCAAACAAAAGGAAACCTGTGTGGGCAGGTTTGCCAGCCCATAGGGCGAGTTCCAGCTGAGTTACATCCACTGCCTAAATAGGGCTGGTTGCAGCTCTTGGGTTGTAACTGTTTCTTGCATGGGGGGAAAGGGTCTCCTGTGGCTTCTGAAATTGATTTTGCTCATCACTCTCATGCAGAGCTCTGCTTGTGCTGGGAGGAGGCAGTTCTAATGCAAGAGCATCTCCATCACCTCCTGACCACAACATAAAATCATAGAATCATCAAAGTTGGAAAAGACCCCTGAGATCATCTGGTCCAACCACCATGCAACCCAGCACCGAAACCAGGTCCACGTGGCTTTGGGTGCATTTTCAGTGTGGGACATGGAAACTGGGAGCAGCACCATCAGAACTGAATCCCAACACGATCAAAGCAAATGACCAAGAGGAATGCAGGAGCTCAGGGTCTTCTCCAGCTCCAGCATCACCCCTGTGGGTGATCACACCAAAATGAGAGGAGCTATTTTGGCACAACCAAGCAGACAGAGCAGCCATTTGGCATAGCATCTCCCAGCAATGGGAGCTGGGCAGGTTTGCACCAAGGTTTACAGCAGCTTTGATACATTCTGCCATAGAGGGGCCAAGTGGAGCCACCAGCAGAACTCATCATCTCTGATGCCCCAGGGCTTTGCCCAAATCACATCAGTAACCCAGCAGCATTAAGTCCTCCAGCGCTGCATCCACTTTGCAAAGCACCAAGTTCAAAGTGACAGATCACTGCTTTGTATGCAACATGGGGCTGAGGGTGCTTTCCCCTCCTCTCTGTCAGGACGTCAGACGAAATAAACCAAGCTGATGTGAATTTTTAAAGTGTAAAAACACCTTTTAAATGTATTTTACACTAAACACAAAGTTTAGTTTTTTTTTTTTTTTTTTGCTAGCAAATCACTGAAAGCTAAAACAATCCCAGCAAGTTTCTATAGCCTCAGACCTTATGATGCTGCCCCACACCTGAGTCCAAGCTTCACCCACTCAACTCCCAGAGACACATAATCCAAGAGGAGTGCACTGTGGGATAAACATCATGTGTCAAACTAGTGAGAAACATCAAGATGTGCAGCATGGAGAGAGGAAGCCTCCTACACTTCTTGCTTTTTACTGTTCCTAGAGTTTCTGGGCATATCATGCAGCCCTGACATGGTTTGTTTCAACAACCCTGGTGTGATAGTTGCAGAAGGATTGCGATGGACATGGATGGATTCTTCTGAAAGGGATGAGCTGGGTGGATGGAAAGGAGACAGGCATGGATGGGCTTCTCTGGAAGGAATGAACTGAATGGATGGAAGAGAGATGGATATGGTCAAATTCCTCTGGAGGGGATGAACTGAGTGGATGAAAAGGACATGGATGGGCCCCTCTGGAAGGAATGAGCTGGATGGATGGAACGAGATGGACGTGGATGGGCTCCTCTGGAAGGGATGAGCCAAATGGGTGGGTGGGGTGGGATAGTGCTGGAAGGTGAGATCTCCCAGGGTGATACCTCTGCTTCTTGGTAAGACACGAATAGCTCATCCTGTACCCTGTACCTAAGAAAGTTTTCCTTCTCTTTATCTTTGAAGTTACAAGTCGGCTGTCCAAACGCAAGCTTTCCTCCAACAGCACATCTCAGTCCCTTGTGCCCTGCCAAAATGACACAAAAATCCCAGGGAAAAAAAATCTGCCCCAGTAGAATGCAGGGGCAGAGCCACCAGTTCAGATTTTAAGAGGATCCCATGCTTTAGCTCTCTGAAAGGCAGCAAATCCCAACGTCCCTTCTCACAGCCCTCCCTTTTAGGATGCTGATAAGGAAGGCCAAATCAGGGAGGCAGAGTTACGCTGGGCGTCCTATGGTGCTGCCCTGGCTCAGAGCTTCTTTGTAGGCTTTTTATTTGTTTTTGTGGCTTTCCCCTCCCCACCCACCCCCCCAACAATAATCTCCAGGCTTCTTTTCTGCCTGGGGCTGTCAGTGTGCAGCTGCAGACCCTCCACCGAGGAGGTAATAAATACAATCCTGGCAGTCATTTTTGCAAACAGCACAGCTGGAGGCTCCAGGCTCCTTCCCCTCCCGGCATTCCCCAGTGCTAATAATTCTTGCAGCGTGACCACTGTGAACAATGGGATGCTCAGCATGGGGGCTGCCCAGCAGAGCATCACTGGGAGCTTCAGGGGCTGCCTCCACCCCAGCGAAGCACTTGAGATATTTGCTGTGCCTTACAAGATTTGGGAAGGGACTTGGGAGGGGAAAGAGAGTTCTGGGTAAGCCTAACAAAGGCTATACCAGCAGGGCACTGTCCCCATTGTGGTTCCTACCCTAGATGTTCCTTGACTTCCTTAGTGATCATAGAATCACAGAACAGTTTGGGTTGAAGGAGTTTGGGTTGACCTCAAAGTCCATCCAGTACCAAACCCTGCCATAGGCAGGGACACCTCCCATAGACCAGGTGCCCAAAGCCCCATCCAAACTGGACTTAAATGCCTCCAGAGATGGGGCACCCACAGCTTCTCTGTGCTAGAGCCTCACCGTTCTCTGAGCAAGAGATTTCCTCCTATCGAACCTAAATCTCTCTTCTTCTAGTTCCCCTTGGATGGTGTTTGGCAGAGAAGGGTGACAGTGGTTGGTCCCAAGACTGAGAGGTGAACAAGGAGTTATCACCACAAGCCTCAAATCCACCACTCAAGATGAAATTCCTCAGTTAGCCCATGGGGAAGTTCCTGTCCAACACCAGTGTGCTGACATTTTTGTCCTGTCAGACGTGACCTGTCAACCAGGATGCACAAAACCACTACCAATTAGCATTTAACCCTGCATTAAACCAAGTCCCAGCCTAATCTGATTCAGTTTTGCTCAACAGCTGACCCAGACCCAGAATTTTCAAATTGCAACAGCCCCATACTTTTGCCCCTGTATGGTAGGCCATAGTTTAGTGGGCATGGGTGACGGGTTGATGGTTGGAGCAGATGATTTTAGTTGTCTTTTATGGCCTTAATAATTCTGTTATTCTATGGCCAGCATGGTGTTGGCTCCTTGCTCCATTTTATCCTCCAAAGCAGGTGGGGGCTGCCATGCACTGTGTTGCAGACACCAGAGATAGAGACATCCCAGTGAGATATTTGGGGACAGTTAAGAACAGCAATGCTCCCCCAGAGCGTGAGCCATGTTCAGAGCTCCTCCATGGTTCTGCAATCCCATGAGCCATAGATCTAGCTGCAGATGCCCCTGCTCAGAGGTGACTGGAGCTAGGTATGCATTTTGTCCCAAGAGGAGAGTTTCAGACATGATGGGTGAAAGGAATCACACTGCAGGCCCATCCACCCTAGCAGGGCTTTGCCTCCAAGTCTGAATTTTTCCTGGTGATCTCACATTCAAAGTCAAATAAAAAGCCTTATTTCTTTTCCCCCTCAGCATACCTCAGAAAAAAAACCTCAAGAATCATCAGTAGCCCTGATGGGGAGGAAACAGAGCCCTTAACATCCAAGCCACACACTGTCTCCCGGCTCATGAGAACCCACACTTTGGTCCCAGTAGAGGGAATCACATTTTCTCCAGCTGCACTTTTCCTCCCCCCTTAAAGATGGGTCTGTTCCCCTCTCCCCTCACATCACAGCCAGGCATGGAGCAGAGGAAGGCAAGGAGTCAGCATCACAGACAGCAAAAAAGAATCACAAGGGGGGGGGGGGAAGGGGAAGGAAAAGAAGCCCCACAGATGCCAGCACTCAGCTGTTACACACAGCACATGGCCCTCTGCAGGCATGATAAAGTGCTTTTTTCCAGCTTGCCACCGCTCCGTTTGGAGCCTGGTTAATACAACTCAGGAATGTCCCGTGCTGCGCAGCCAGGTTGGGATAATCCCCTGCAGTCTTTGAGATTCTCAGGGAATGCATTTCCTCCCCCCCTCCCTGCTGAGCATCTCGAATCCTCTGAGAAGCAACGGCAGCAGCTTCCAGGAAATTAAAAAAAAAAAAAAAAAAAAAGAAGTAAAAAAAAAAATTGCAATAGAAACAAAAATCCCAAGGCTTCCTCAGCCAAGAATGAATGGCGTGGAGCCTGCCATACATTCGTCTCGCTGGGTCCAGGTGCCAAGTTTTCATACAAGAAAGGGCTTGCTCGAGCCAGCCTTTATCTCCTCCCGGCCCCCAACATCTCACTGCTCGGAAGTTTCTTTTGAAGCCGTTCCAGGCTGTGAGTGCTGTGGTTGCTGCCTGCTCCAGCCCCACTATATCGGTGCGATGGGGTCGGGAGGGCTGTGGACAAGCATGCCTCTTGTTTTATATCCCCCCTCCCCTTCAGCTTCTGCTTGGGGAAAGAGGGAGGAGGGAGAATAGAGTGAAAGAGGAAAAAAAGCAGTTAGGGATGGAGGGAAAAGTCTGAACCTCAGGAAGGCAGTGCCTCACAGTGCCTCACCTCCTTCTGTTGGCTCCGTCTCACACTGGGGTGGATGGCACACACTGCTGTCACTGCAGCGCTGGGTGAGTGCTGGATGCTTCTTCCTACACCCCCCCAAAAAGAAAAAAAAAATTAATAGATTTGATACGTTTTGTTTGTTTCACAGCTTTCTGCTCCCATCCTTTCAATGCTGTGATATTTCCTTGCACTCAGTCTGAAAAAATAAGGATGAAGCACACCCCCTCGCTCGAATCTTGCAGTCTTCCCTGCTGTACTTTGCTATCAGAAATCATGCTCCCCTGGGATGTCACATCCTTTCTCCCTCCAGGCACTTTGCAATCGCTCCCTGCATGCAAGCTACTCGCATTCATTCACCGCCGTGCGTCTCCAGCAGCACCCACCCTGTGCACCCGCTGCCTCTGCACCAGGGAGGGAGAACTGACACTGCTCAGCGCTGCTTATATCCCACGTGTGAGCAAGCACCTCCCGTTCCACGGCCTCCAAGGGCTGGCACTGCCTCCCAGGGGTTATAAAGTGACCGAGAGCTGCCATGCTCTGCCCCAGTGCAGAGTGACGTTGGCTGCCGACTCGCTTTGCTTTGGCACCGCGGGGCTGCCCGAAGCAGCCAGCCAAGTTTAACGCTGTCAATCCTCCCGGGGATGTACCCTTAGAGCATTGCCACGGCGTCTCTCTAAGCTTCCCTTTCTGCACCACCCGTGCTCACACAGCACTGCAATCAAACCCCGCGTGCCTCCGGACGAGCGCGGCAGTGGCGATCAATGCGATATTTCAGCGCAATGCCGGCAATGGGCACCGGCTGCTTTCTGCAGAGCAATGGCACAGTGTCCACGAGAGACAAGTTTCCTACTGTAACTTCAGTGAATGCTCTCATTCAGGCTGACGGCAGCTGATTTATCATGGCAGGCACCCGGGGAAATCCTCTGTCTCGGAGCTGCCGCGACCAACACCAACAGCTCAGCTCACAGAATCACAAAGCCATTCAGGTTGGAAAAGACCTCTAAGATCATCTCAGTCAACCAATCGTAGAACCCTTAAGGTTGGAGAAGACCTCTACGATCGCCTTGTCCAACCAATCATAGACTCATTAAGGATGGAGAAGACCCCTAAAACAATCCCATCCAACCAATCATAGAATCATTAAGGATGGAGAAGACCTCTAAGACAATCCTATCCAACTAATCATAGAATTGTTAAGGATGGAGAAGACCTCTAAGATAATCCCATCCAACTAACCACAGAGCACAGACTCATTAAGGCTGGAGAAGACCCCCTAAGATTACCCCATCCAACTAATGATAGAATCATTAAGGCTAGAGAACACCTTTAAGATCATCTCGTCCAACCACGTACCTCCCCAGGCTCCAAATACCTTCACTGCCAACAAATTGCATCAGGGCTCAGCTGACCACAATGGGGAAACGCCAGTTAATGGAGGCAATGCCACTTCCCCATGACCCAAACCCCTCTCTCCATCCCGGGGCTTCCCACCCATCCCAAGCAGAGGAGCAGAGCTGACAAGGCTCTTTGTTTCAGGAGGGCTGACATGTGTTGTGGTCGGCTGCACTAATAAATCTGCCGGCCCCTGTGTCTCTTAATGACTGCAGCATTAATAAGAAGTTTCCATGGTGCTGCTGAAAAGTTTACAGGGTGTGTTCGTTATCAAGGGAGCCCCGTGCTTTCTGACCTCCTGCTTCAGAAGTCAGAACCAGCAGCTGCTTTTTCTTTCTTTTTCCTTTCTTTCTTCCCTCTCTTCTCATTTCTTTCTTTTCCTTTCTTTCCTATCCTTGCTTTTTTCCCCCCATTATTTCCTTCTTTTTTCTTTTTTTTTCATTTTTTCCCTTTTCTTTCTTTGCTTCTTTATTTCTTTCTCTTTTCTTCCTTTCCTTCTTTTTGCCTTTTTCTTTCTTTCTTTTTTTTTTTTTTTTTTACTTTTTTTTCTTTTTTTCTTTTTTTTTTTATTTTTTTTTTATTTTTTTTTTCTTTTTCTTTCTTTTTCTCTTCTTTTTTTTTTCTTTTCCAACAGAACCACACCACCACACAAACCCAAGGCTGCTGCTTCCTCTCCCTGCCCCCTCCCCAAGCACACCTTCCCCTCCAGCTTAATCCACTCAGAGCCATGGGAAATTCCCAGGCGGGAGCTTTGCCGTGCCCGTATCTCTCCAGCACCCTCTGCACCCTCCTCACCCATCCTCTGAGCTTTGCTTTCCCTTTTTCCCCCCATTTTTTTTTTTCTCCCCTTACCTTTGTGCGGCTCCTGCGAGCCTCTATAGCTCAAGATCGCAGCCCAAAAAAAAAAAAAAAAAAAAAAAAAAAAGGAATTAAGGAGAAAAAAAAAATCCCTTCTCTCGGTGCTGGGAGGGGAAAGAAGGGGGGAAGAGGAGGGGACACAGGGAGCCCTGTGTGAAACCGAAGCGCTGAAGCCGGGCACGGGAGGCGGTGCGCAGCTTCCAGCTGCTGCTCGGATTACTTTGCAGCCGTGGCAATTCTGAGCGCTCCGCAGCCACCATTGCACGGAGGGAGGAGAAGGGAGGAAACGAGCGGAGCTCGGGAGGGGTCGTACACCCCCCGCCTCCCCCTTTGGGGATGGCCGCTGCGGGGAAAAAGTGCTCTGCCTCCAGCTCAGGGCTGTGTGGTTCCACTCCCCCCCTTCCCCTCTCCGCTTTTTGGACCGGATGACCCCGCACCGCCGCGTCGCTGAAAATCCCACGCGTGGCAAAAAAAAAACAAACAAAAAACACCAACAACAAAACAAAAACAAAAAACACAAACAAACAAACACAAAACTCAACGCACTGCAAAAGTTTCCCCACTCGGTGACACTGCAGGTGAGGGAGGGGAGAACTCCCATCGATCACCCCCCCCCGCCCGGCTCAGCGCATCCCCACTTTCCCGGGGCGGCTCAGCCCTCCCTCCCCCCTCAAAAAAAAAAAAAAAAAAAAAATTTGGGATGGGTGATCCTCCCCAAAACCCCGCAGCTCTGCGTGGGGAGAGGATGGGGGAAGGCACTCACCGGGACCGGGATCGGTTCTCACTCCTACGGGCACGCAGCGCCGGTTCCCACGGCGGGGAGCCGGCAGCAGCACAGCCTGGGGGCCGGGAGGCTCCTTCCTCCGTCCTCCTCCTTCTCCTCCTCCTCCTCCTCCTGCTCCTCTGCCGCCGCCGCCGCCGAGGCGTGCAGCTGGCCGGGCAGGCGGGCTGCCCCCTTCCCCTCAGGAGGAGGGAGGAGGGAGTTCAACAGATGGCTGCACACAAGGGAACATCTGGGAGGAGGAGGAGGAGGAGGAGGAAGAAGGAGGCAGGACTTGTACTCCGCTGGGCGACTCCTGCGTTGATAGACGCCCCCCCTCTCCCCCCCACTTGCCTTTATTCCTTTGTGAACTTAATGCTGGAGTGACCCCTCAAAAGTAATGGGGCTTTTTGCCTGACCCCACTAAAGAAATATGGCTTTTTTTCCCCTTTTTGGAGAAAAAGGGAGTGTGTGTGTTTGAAGCTGGCTTTGCATCCCCTGGGTAAAATCTCTTATCATGGCATCAGAATATCCAAAGTTGGAAGGGACCCACAAGGATCATGGAGTCTGACACATGGCTCCACCTAGGACCACCCCTCATAGCCCCACTGCTTTGATGAGCTGACTTCAGAATTCCCCTCAGCTCTTTTTCCTGACCTGTATTCATAGAATCATAGAATGATTAGAGTTGGAAAAGACCACTAGCATCATCCAGTCCAACCATTTGCCTGTCATTCATGCCCTCTAAACCATGTCCCTAAGCAACACGTTCACAGGAGCAGGTCCTATACCCAAACACCTCCCACATCCACATTTTGGATGTGTAGGACACACACCCAGCACTCCAAGGTAACTGAGACAAGTGGGCATGGTCATGTTGGGTAGACAGTAGGATGAGATGATCTTGGAGGTCTTTTCTTACCTTAATGATTCTATGAGTAGGCATGGTGGTGTTATGCTGACAGTTGGACAGGATGATCTCGGAGTTCTTTTCCAACCTTAACGATTCAATGATTCTATGAGCAGGACAAGACAGCGCCAAGGGCTCACCAGTCCCATGCTGTAAACTCTGGTCCCAGATTGGGAGACTGGGTGTTGGTTTGAGGTGCACTGCTCCTGGCTCAGCACCAGCTGCTGCAGGAGACTGGTGCTAACAAACTCTTGACATGTGATAAAGCAGAACAAAGAAAGCAGAATCCCACAGAGAGGCTGGATTTGTTTGTTGTAAGGTGAGCAGAGTTTCTTGGCGGTTGGGTTTAATGGCCCAGAGGTGGATGGGCCCCATTTGAGTTGTGATACTGGAGAAAGGAATGAGAGAGTGCTTCTTGTTGTGGTTCTGTGGCAATGTTTGGACAAAGGGAAGGGGAACTTGAGTTCATGAGTCACAAAGGACTCATGTTGTGGCTGGCTGCAATGCACACCTCTCCCTAGGTGTGACCTGTGGCAGGTCCCAAGCTGTTTCCTAACAAGTTTGGGATGAAAAGGCACCATCAGGCTCCTCGTTTGCTTTGAGTAATGCTGGGGCTTTGAAACGCATCACGTGGTCCATACCAATAACAAAAGATTGCTCAGCCCATCCATTGACACCAGTGTGTTAATGAGATTGGGAGTTTGGGATTCCATCAGGTTGTGACCACTCTGCCAAGGGGAGGACAGAGGAAATCTGTGCTCAGGACTCAGCTGTACCAAACACTTTGTGGGAAAACCTTGGGAAAACCCCTTCATCTGGGTTATGATTTTCTCTCTGAAGTTGGCAGCAGTGTTCCGGCCATGTGCATTCTGCTGGCAGGATCCATTCCCCAAGGTCTCTGCACTCCTCATTTTTATAGTTCTGGGCAGGGGAAGTTGCTCAGCTGAAAGCTTTTGTTTAATTTTCCATTTCGTTCATTTTTCCATTCCTCTCTGTGGGCCTTTGCCATCTCAGTGTTGGCTTCAGTAAAGGAAAATGCCAGTTTGAGGCTGGGGGAATTGGGAATTAAATCCTACAGCTGGGACAAACTCCAGCACTGCCAGGTCTGGTGATTTGAAATGAAGAAATGAGAAACATGAAACCTGGCTTCAAACATCAGGATTTTGCTCAAGAAAGAACTTTAGTTGTTGTTTTTCTGATTTGAAGCCTATTGCTTTGCTGTAGCTGCTGGACATGGGAAGATCAAGTGCTCAGTAAGTCCATTGCTCAGATGAAATAGTAATGAACTGAGTGGTGTTCTGTCTTGAACTTTGAATGTTAAGAGATGCTAATAAACTCAAAGGGCTGAAAATGGGCAGTGTGGGTGAACTGGGGGTAGGGGTTAGCAGAGATGGATGGCAAAGTGATGCTTGGTGCTGGTGTGGTCCATTGCAGTACCAAGAAACGCCCCATTGCAAAGGGCCTCGCACAGTTCATAAAGGGATGCTCTCTACAGCAGATCAAACCCAGTTAATTAGCATGATAATACAGAGTTCATTTTTACTGGGTGTTTAAGCTCAAGGTAGCGTTTCCCATCCCCATTCCTATTTGCCTATATTTTCTTGAGAGAAAATAATGTTTTTTTCCCAGTTTCCCAGTTGTGCCGGAGCTGATCCTTCCCAAGCAAAGCCCACCATGCTGTGCTGGGACAAATTTCCCTAGTTATCTCAGAAAGGTGATTGCCACACTAGGGTGGGATGAAAGAAGAAATGGATTTACCTGAGGTCACGCTGCACCAGATGGTGGTAGGACCTCACCTGGTGTCCTAGGCACTGTCCATGCATTACCCACCCCTTTCTTTGCTTTGGGAAAGCAGATGAGGACAGTTCCACCAAAATGCTTTCAGTTCATCCATGATTCAAGGCCAAGTTGGATGGGGCTCCGTGCAGCCTGATCTGGTGGGTGGCAACCAGCTCATGGTAGTGGGGTTGGAACTGGATGGTCTTCAAGGACCCTTCCAACCTAAGCCATTCTATGATTCAGGTCTGGATATCATAAGGCATCATTCCTAAATCAGTTCAACCAGGGCCATGCTGAGCTTAACTCTGACCACGTGTTCCCAGAAGACACCAGCTCGGTTTCTTGTTTCTCACTGTTTGATGAAATCATTCCTCATTAGACGTGACAAAATCCAGGAAAATCTTAATCCAAAGGAGAGATATCTGAGTAATTCTGACTTTCTCCTGAATAAATTCCAGTAGATACATGCCAGGAAAGGAGTTAAAGAATGAATGAAGATGACGTAAGATGAATTAGTAAGAAGAGCTAATGTTGGAGTTTTGCCCCATGATATTTGAATCCCCCTCTGAAATCTCATTTCCCTTTCTCTTATGCAATCTCAGAAAAGAGGTTTTCTCATGCACCAAACTTGGAGAAAGCAAGAGTGCCCTGCAATTCCTAGCTCTGATCTTTTTGCTATGAGAGGGACTGCTCATGAACCTTTTCCTTTGTGGCTGGGGTAGATCATAGAATCATAGAATAGTAGAATCACAGACTGGTTTGGGTAGGAAGGAACCTCAAATCTTACTCAGTCCCAACCCCTCCTTTGTCCAGGGACACCTCACGTAGATCAGATGCCTAAGGCCCCATCCAGCCTGGCCTTGTGCACTGACAGGGATGGGGCACCCACACCTTTTCCAGGCGACCTGTGCCAGGGCCTCACCACATCATGGTAAAAAAATGTATTTCGAACCATTAATTTAAACCTACCCTCTTTTAATTTTAAACAATTCTTCCTTGTCCTACCCCTGCAAATAGTCCATCCATAGCTCTCCTGTGGCCCCTTTAAGCACCAGAAGACCACTGTAAAGTCTCTCCAGAGCTTTCCCTTCTCCAGGCTGAATACCCCCAGCTCCCAGCCCAACTCTTCAGCGGAGGTGTTCCAGCCTCTAAGCATCCTCATGGCCTCAGTAGTTAGATACATAGAGCAGATCATTTGGGAAGCTATCCAAACTTGGATGTGCTTGATGTTATTTCTCAACAGGAAGCACCCCCAGCAGCAGCCAACATGATTACTTGTGGATGAGTTTAGTTCTTGCAAAAGATTAGCAAAAACGTTGCCTGCAATAGAACCAAACAACGACCAACAGTTCCCACTGGCAACATGCGACAGCTGTAGGAATGTTTCCCATCCTTATGAGAGTCCTGTAGGAAATCAAAACTGCATCTTTACAACACCACACGCTCACTTTTCAGATGTTTTGGAGCCCAGATTGCTTGCTCAGTGGAACTGTAGAGGTTTTTATCTGGCTGTATTAGCTGCTCCTGAGAAGCATGTACTTGTTTCCCAGCAAGCTGCCCACTGGACTGTTCACCTCCTTTCTATATATTTTCCATCTCTCATTGCAGATATTGGCTTCCCTTTGACATTAGTCAATATTTAGCTCTTGAGTTAATAAATACTAAGATTTACTGGTATGAAATCAATGCATCCTAAGATCTTTCTGCCATCAGTCATGGTTAGGCCTTGGGGCAATGAGCGGCCCCTGTCATGCTTTTAAGACCTGCTTCTTCAAGGCTGTTTGTTGACTGATTTCTTGACTAAGTTAATTCTGTTCATGAAAGCTCCACCCTCTTCTTTGTTTGATTGAATGCTACCTGGAGTCATCATGGTCCATAGGATCACACAGCAAAGAAAGTAAAGCATAGGGATTCTTTTCTTTTGCTCCACTTATTTTTGAGCAGCTTTGCGTTGGCTTCAGCAGATCAGTATGTACATTGAAGGGGTGTTGGCATCTTTCTGATGCCATGCAGGTGTTCTCATTCTGTTTCAGGCCTTTGTGTTCTCAGCTCCTCAAGGGTTTCTATACCCGTAGTTCCCATAATTCACAGAATCATAGAATCACAGCATCATTAAGGTTGGAAAAGACCTCCAAAATCCCCAAGTCCAACCTGTCCCAACCCCACCATGCCCACTGACCATGTCCTTCAGTGCCACATCTCCGTGGTTCTTAAACACCCCCAGGGACAGTGGCTTCTTCACCTTCCCAGGAAGCCTGTGCCACTGCATCACCACTCTTTCAGAGAGTTAATTTTTCCTGTTACCTAATCTGAACCTCCTCTGGTACAACCTGAGGCCGTTACCTCGCATCTTAACAATTCCAAGTGATTGGATTCAGAATCCCGTCAAGCTGTAAATCTTTGACAATTGAAAACCAGGTTGTGTATCCAGTAGTTATCCCATTAATCCATTC